TTCTTTGAGTGTAGTTTAAATATTTATTTTTTTTTTTGTTTGTTTAACAAACAATTACACTATTGTTTTTTTCTCTCAAATCTTTGATTAGGCTAAATTACAAAGCATCTGAACTCACACATAAATTGTGAGCAAAATCTGAAAAATGATAGCAGAATTCTAATAGCAGCACCCAAGTGCAGCGAATTTGTACCCAAAAGACCTTTGGAAATAGAATAGAGTGTTCGAGGCATTGAAAAAATAATTTTAAAAAATCCACGCCTCAGGATAGTCTTTGAAAATTTTATTTTAAAAAATCCACGCCTGAGGATAGTCTTTGAAAATTTTATTTTAAAAAATCCACGCCTGAGGATAGTCTTTGAAAATTTTATTTTAAAAAATCCACGCCTTTCTAATAGTCTTTGAAAATTTTATTTTAAAAAATCCACGCCTGAGGATAGTCTTTGAAAATTTTATTTTAAAAAATCCACGCCTGAGGATAGTCTTTGAAAATTTTATTTTAAAAAATCCACGCCTGAGGCATTTTGAAAATTTTATTTTAAAAAATCCACGCCTGAGGAAAGTCCTTTGAAAATTTTATTTTAAAAAATCCACGAAAGATAGTCTAAAATGTTATTTTAAAAAATCCACGCCTGAGGATAGTCTTTGAAAATGTTATTTTAAAAAATCCACGCCTGAGGATAGTCTTTGAAAATTTTATTTTAAAAAATCCACGCCTGAGGATAGTCTTTGAAAATTTTATTTTAAAAAATCCACGCCTGAGGATAGTCTTTGAAAATTTTATTTTAAAAAATCCACGCCTGAGGATAGTCTTTGAAAATTTTATTTTAAAAAATCCACGCCTTGGGATAGTCTTTGAAAATTTTATTTTAAAAAATCCACGCCTGGGCATCTTGTTACAGAACGGTTGTTCAATAAGCCGAGCTTAAAAAAGATTTCCAAGTCGGTCTTGTGCGCATTTCCGCCAATTGGAAAGACCACGTTCCAAGATGTTATTTTCTATTTGGTCTTTCCATCTGATTCGTGGCCTTCCCCTTCTACGGGAACCATCAGTAGGCTCGCTTTTATATGTCTTTTGAGCTTTTTATGGCCTAGCCATCGTAGTCGCTGCAGCTCAATACGACTGACTATGTCAATGTCCGCGTATAAATTGTAAAGCTCGTGGTTCATTCGACGCCGATATTCAACGTCGACGCAGATCGGGCCGTAGAGAATTTTTCTTTCAAACACCCCAAAAGCTGCCTCATCTGCTTGCGCAAGTACTCATGCTTCAGATCCATATACCAGCACGGGTAGTATCAGCGTCTTGTAAAGTGTGAGTTTGGTCTGGCGGGAGGTGGCCTTGTCTCTAAACTGGTTGCTTAGAACATAGTAGCATCTATTGGCCATCACAATCCAATACGATTGACTATGTCGATATCCGCATATAAATTGTAAAGCTCGTGGTTCATTCGAGATCGGCCCGTATATCTTTCGCTCATTTTTTCTTTCAAACACCCCAAGAGCTGCCTCATCTGCTTGCGCAAGTACTCATGCTTCAGATCCATATGACAGCACGGGTAGTATCAGCGCCTTGTAAAGTGTGAGTTTGGTCTGGCGAAAGGTGGCCTTGTTTCTAAACTGCTTACTTAGATCATAGTAGCATCTGTTGGCCAACACAATCCATCTCCGTACTTCGAAACTGATGTAATTCGTCTTGCGCGTTGATACCATCTTGGTCTTCTCGCCGTTTACTACCAGACTGGCAGACTCCTTCTCAATTTGTTCAAAGGTGACTGTTACCGCTCGCAATGTTCGACCCATTATATCGATGTCATCGGCGTAGACGATTAACATGCCTTGTTTGGTGTACAGAGTGACATTTCTGTTCACCTATGTGTCGCGTATGGCCTTTTCCAGCAGGATGTTAAAAAGATCACACGACAATCCTTCACCTTGTCTGAATCCTCGTTCGGTATTAACGGGCTCCGATAGGTCCTTTCCGACTTTAACTGCTGCCTTTGTGCCACTTAAAGTTATCCTGCATAGCCGTCTAAATTTTGCAGGAATGCCGAACGTAGACATGGCTTTAAACACCTCTGAACGGATTGGGCTGTCAAATGCGGCTTTATAGTCTACGAATAGATGGTATGTGTCGATGTGTTTTTCGTGGGTCTTTTCCAGGATTTGGTGCAGAGTGAAAATCTGGTCAATGGTGGATTTGCCAGGTCTGAAGCCACATTGGTATGGTCCGATGATGTCATTGACCATTGGCTTCAATCGTTCACACAGCACACTGGATAGCACTTTATATGCGATGGGAAGGAGACTTATTCCTCTATAGTCGGCACATATCTCTCTGTCTTGTCTCCTTTTTTGTGCACGGGACACAGTATGCTGAGGTTCCAATCATTGGGCATGCATTCCTCTAGCCAAATTGTACTAATCAGCTGGTGCATGTTCCTGACCAGCATCTGACCACCAGTCTTGAATAGTTCAGCTGGTAACCCATCGGCTCCAGCTGCTTTATTGTCCTTGAGTCGATTAATTGGTTTTATGACCTCATCTTGGCTAGGTGGTATACACTCTATACCATCATCTCTTATTGGTTCTGGGGTATCTTCTTCAACGCCACTATTTGATACCAGAATATTTTAAAAATGCTCCTTCCAGATCCTCAACACGCTGTCTGTATCTGTCACCAGGTTTCCTTCTTCATCTCTACAGGTGGATGTGCCTGCACCAAAGCCTTCGGTTTGGTATTTTAACCGTTGGTAAAATTTCCGGACTTCATTCAGACTCCTGTACACCTCGATTTGCTCACGCTCAAGTTTTTCTTATTCATTCTTCTTTTTTCTGAAAATACGTTTCTCCTCTCTCCTTTTCTCCCGATAATTCTCCATCGCATTACGTGTTGCTACTGTCTGCAGGGTTGCCCTATACGCAGGGTTTTTCAGATCAGCATTACGACACTCCTTATCATACCATGGGTTCCTTGGTGGTGGTTTTTGGTACCCAAGTGTTACTTTTGCTGCAGTTTGTAGGGAGTGGGCAATTCTCTGCCATTGTGCATCTATATTATTATCGGGACAAGGGGTGCTTTCGTCAAGCAGTTGGGTAAGTTGAGCGGTGTAGGCCTCGGCTACCTGTTGTGTTTGCAGCTTTTCGACGTCGAGTTTCCGTGTTGTATTAGATCGCACCTTTGCTGCTACATTAAGACGAGTGCGAACCTTGGCTGCCACAAGGTAATGGTCCGAATCGATATTCGCTCCTCGAATCGATCGAACATCTAAAACACTGTACGAATGCCTTCCGTCTATCACGGCATGATCTATTTGATTTCTCGTTGTTTGATCAGGAGAAATCCAGGTGGCCTTGTGTATATCGAGATGCTTGAATCTGGTGCTGCTAACTACCATGTTTTTTTGCTGCCGCGAAGTCAAGCAACCTCATGCCATTATCGGATGTTTCTTCATGAAGGCTGAATTTTCCGACGGTAGGGCCAAAGATATTTTCACTTCCGCTATTCGCATTAAAATCTCCTAGCAGAATTTTAATGTCATGGTCAGGACAGCGATCAACATATGCTGGTTCTAGGCGCTCATAAAATATGGACGCAAATAAGACTGATGTAGAAGAACTTCGCTTCTATGCGGATTATAGCAATTCGCTTATCTACTGGAGCGGAATCTGGAGACGAGGTCTTTTATTCTCCTGTTAACCATAAATCCGCAGTCAAATTCATGTCTCGTTTCATGGCAGCTATAATACAGTGCGTAATCATCTGATTTCCTTACGCCCTAGTCCCTTTCCATCGCATTTCCTGTAGAAGCAATAATATCGGCTTTGTACTTCTTGAGTACATCCGCCAAAGCGAACACCGAGCCTGTTCTGTACAACGTGCGCACATTCCAAGTGCAGATACGCAGATCGTGGTCCTATATACATTTGCGGGGGTCGTCAACATTGGGGGTTTGGTTTTCGTTTTCTTTGCTTTTTCATAGTAGGTTGGGTTTTCCGAGTGTTAGCAACTAACCCGACGCCTCAGCCCATTTTTTATAGTTCTTATGGGTGAACTTGCGGCTCATATCAGCTCACTATTTTATCGGGTGATGAAAATAGCTACCCCAGGTGGTACCACGGGGAGGTCAGTGTCCACAATTGAGATGAAAGCGGGACCAAGTGAAGCCTGGACTTCGCCATGTTAAAGCCAATCAGAGCCGTGGCTTGGTATCTATCATCCCCAACGCTACGCAAAGGCTATGCATTAAAAAAGAATAAAAAAAATCCACACATTTTGCATACCACCCTATTAAATAATTTACACCTTTGCCGTTCTGAGAAATATTTCAAGAGTGCTCGGACAATTTCTTGGAATTTTGTGATTTGTTTATGGTCGGAATTTTTTGTGCTTCTCATGATTGTGATTTATTTGTTTACAAATTAATGAGCATGTAAATGAGAGCAGACCTTTCAAGGTCATATCAAATTTTCTAACCATGGACTTGGGTGCGTATGACTAGTGTCAGCATGTATACGCACCCAGTATTTGACAATTATTTATACAGGTTGCTTGTAATATTTTCAATTTTTTCGAAGTAAAATCGTTTCTCCCCTCTTCTTTTCTCCCGATAATTCTCCATCACGTGTTGCTACTCTCTGCAGGGTTGCCCTATATGCTGAGTTTTTCACATCAGTAGCACTACGACACTCCTGATCGTACCATGGCTTTCTTGGTGGTGGTTTTTGGTACTCGTGCAATTTTTTTCCTCGAGTGTAACCTGTCACATTGTAAATTGTGTGAATGAATGTCAGTCACTCGCACACACACACACACACACACACACACTGAGAAAGCGTTGAAGCACCCAAACCCACTTGAATTTCTATGTGGTTTATTCGAAAAATATTTGTTCGCTAGTTAGTGAGTGGCCTCATAAACACTAAGCGGAATAACTGGCTATTGTTTCAAAGTTCTGTTTTTTGATCGTGCGGAATTTTTTTAAATATCGTGGAAAAATGTTAAAACATCTATTCCTCTTAAGCGTGATCATAGCCTATTGTTATGGTTTCGGACAATTTCACATGAAAAAATATACGCCACCTGTGGATTCGGATGAAGAAGCCACAAATAGTGTGCTAAGTAAGGCAGAGAGATTTCTGGAATCGTGGACTAAGTCCTGGAATTATTTGTTGCCCTATTTTTTGTAGGAACCTATCGCCGCTGCCTGTGGGAACAATCGAAATCATTGCCACGGCGCTTGGTGCTGCTGAGTTTGTGCCAAAATTTATTTTGTGAAAATAATCATGTTGTAGCCAGATCCAGGTCTCTTTTTGTAGTCGAAAAGATGGCTAGACCCAACGAGTAGATATAGTTTCCAATTTAAAAAACAAAAAACCAAAACAAAATTCAAGTAGTTGCATGAAAAAAAATATTCGATGTCGAAGTTGGAAAAATTGGGATTGGAAATGTGAGAAAAAAATCGTAAAAAATTTTCGTGGTACTCCCATGCGTATGAGTGGTGACAACACGTATACAACAAGGAGGTCTGATTGAAGAATTCATCTTTTAAAGGCTAAGCTCAGGCGTGGATTTTTTCAAATTAATTTTTCAATACCCCAACCCAGGTCTGGATTTGTTAAAATTTCGTTTCAATAACCCAACCAAGGTGTGAATTTTTCAAAATTAATTTTTAAGGTCCCAACCAAGGCGTGGATTTTTTTGAATTCATTTTTAAGGTCCCAACCAAGGCGTGGATTTTTTGAAATTCATTTTTAAGGTCCCAACCAAGGCGTGGATTTTTTGAAATTAATTTTTAAGGTCCCAACCAAGGCGTGGATTTTTTTAAATTAATTTTTAAGGTCCCAAACAAGGTGTGGATTTTTTGAAATTCATTTTTAAGGACCCAAACAAGGTGTGGATTTTTTGAAATTCATTTTTAAGGACCCAACCAAGGCGTGGATTTTTTGAAATTCATTTCTAAGGTCCCAACCAAGGCGTGGATTTCTTGAAATTCACTTTTAAGGTCCCAACCAAGGCGTGGATTTTTTGAAATTCATTTTTAAGGTCCCAACCAAGGCGTGGATTTTTTAAAATTAATTTTTCAATACCCCAACCAAGGCGTGGATTTTTTAAAATTAATTTTTCAATACCCCAACCAAGGCGTGGATTTTTTAAAATTAATTTTTCAATACCCCAACCAAGGCGTGGATTTTTTGAAGAATATTTTTTCAATACCCCAACCAAGGCGTGGATTTTTAAAATTAATTTTTCAATACCCCAACCAAGGCGTGGATTTTTTGAAATTCATTTTTAAGGTCCCAACCAATGCGTCAAAGACTATCCTTAAGAGTGGATTTTTTAAAATTAATTTTCCAACTTCGTCATCGGAAAATTTGCCAATTTCCAGAATTTTTTATTAATCCATTTTTTTTATTATTTTTTTTGTTGGCTTAAAAAAAATTCCGCACAGCTGCTTGGATATTTTACCCGATCAATGTGAACAGGGCGATGAGGAGGAGTTAATGTATAAACCCTTCCCGGATTGCTGCCCCGTCTACTGCAACCTGAAGCGCCGCATGCAACGTTTGAAGACCATGCACTTCCGACATCGCCTGCTATTGGATCTACAGCGTCAGCAGGCGGCAGGAGGAACCAACCTACTGCTAAATGAATATGGCTTGGATAGTATATAGAATGGCTTCCGAGCAACTTATTTATTCAAAAACTGCAATATAAAGGACATCCTTAAGTTGTTTTCCTTCTTTTTCCAATAAAATGCAACTTCACATTCGATTAGCGTAAATGTCATATAAGGATCGTAGCACGTATCCTTTGTATTCCTTTCGCTTGCACAGCGTGTACCTCAATAAAGTTTGTCGTGTTGCTTTTGTTGTATTTATACACTGATTGCTATTAAATGCGTTTTTCATTTATCCAAGGCAAAAGGGAAGGGAAAGGATAAAAACGACTATCAAGTGTCGGGTTAAAGGTAAGCTGTGTAAGTTCTTTACTTTCGCATATCCTTTTTATGCATTTTTAACTGAAGACATACACCCACCTGCATGCTTGAGTTTTACTGCACTTGGCGGTAGGTTGCTGGCAAAGTCATCGAGCTCAAACAAGGAGCGTAGCTAGGGGGAGGTATAGAAATTGGGACCATAAAAAATTAATTTTAAGCCAGTAAGGAAAGTAGTAAAGTCGGACGGGGCCGACTATATGATACCCTTCACCACTATGGGTATATTAAACAGGATTATTGTGATATTTATATAAATGTGAATCGACTTAGATAAATCTATAATCGACTTAGATCAATCTATTCGGGACTTTGGTGCACCATTTACCTTAAATCGGACGAAAATATATATGAGAGCAATATCTAAATCTGGACCGATTTTGACGAAACCTGGAAGACATCATTCCTGACTCAGTTCAGCACTCTGTGCCAAATTTCATGCAAATCGAAGGATATATAGGGTCTCTGGTGCACCATTTACATTAAATCGGACGAACATATATATGGGAGCTATATCTAAATCTGCACCGATTTTCACGAAACTTAGCACACATTATTCTACCTATAATTCAGTACGCTGTGTCAAATTTCGTGCAAATCGAAAGATATGTAGGTACTTTGGTGCACCATTTACCTTAAATCGGACGAAACTATATATAGGAGCTATATCTAAATCTGAACCGATCTTCTCGAAACTTAACACACCTTATTCTATCCTTAATTCAATATGCTGTGCTAAATTTCGTGCTAATCGAAGGATACATACGGACTTTGGTGCACCATTTACCTTAAATCGGACGAAAATATATATGGGAGCTATATCTAAATCTGACCCGATTTTCACGAAACTTGACACACATCACTCTAGCCTAAATTCAGAACCTTATGCCAAATTTCGTGCAAATCGAAGAATACATAGGGTCTTTGGTGTCCCTTTTACATTAAATCGGACGAAAATATATATGGGAGCTATATCTAAATCTGAACCGATTTTCACGAAACGTAGCACACTTCATCCTAGTCCTAATACAGTACGCTATGCCAAATTTCGTGCAAATCGAAACATATATAGGGTCTTTGGTGCACCATTTACATGAAATCGGACGGAAATGTATATGGCAGCTCTATATAAATGTGAACCGATTTTCACGAAACGTGGTACACATAACTCCAGGCTCAATTCAGTACGCTGTGCAAAATTTCGTGCAAATCGAAGTTTATACAGGGTATTTGGTGCACCATATACATCAAATCGGATAAAAATATATATATCGGAATAAAATATATATACCTAAATCTGAACTGATTTTCTCGAAACTTCGCATACTTCATTCCAGACTCAATTCAGTACGCTGTGTCAAATTTCGTGCAAATCGAAAGATATATGGGAACTTCGGTGCACCATTTACCATAAATCGGACGAAAATATATATGGGAGCTATATCTAAATCTGAACCGATTTTCACGAAACTTAGCACACATCATTTTTGACTCAATTCAGTACTCTTTGCCAAATTTCGTGCAAATCGAAGAATATGTAGGGACTTTGGTGCACCATTTGCATTAAATCGGACGAACATATATATGGGAGCTATATCTAAATGTGGACCGATTTACTTCAATTTTGATAGGTTTCGTCCAAGTGTGTTGTGCCAAATTTCATCCAAATCGGATCATAAATGCGACCTGTACTTTGTTGGCAATTTAAGATCTACAGGCGGACGGACATGCATAAATCGACTCAGCAAGGGATTCTATGCATATTCTCAAAAGGAACCATGTGTCTATCTCGTTTCCTTTTGCCTGTTACAAACATATGCACAAAGACATAATACCCTGTACCACAATGTGGTGAAGGGTAAAAAAATCTATGCCTTGGCTGGATTTCAAAAAATTTCCACGTCCCTGGTATATCCTTTGGAAAACTATTTTTTCTCCTCCTTCCCCCTATTTGCTTTTTATCACATTTTAATAAGAGCAACAACAAACATGAATATTTTTAAGGAAGGATAACAACATTTACCCACTCATCTTTTGATTGTTATTTAAGTGGAATGTTCGCTGTGTGCAGAACACTTCTACAAAAGTTGCCTTGCAACTAAATGGAAAGAAAATCGTTTTGTAGAGGTGAAAGGTAAAGCTGTCATCTGTCGGTTGCCTTTTACCGGGGATATAAGTTGATCGATTTAAATATTCTCCAAAAGAGGATATTAACTTTAATTTTGCCTTTTTACCATGATTATAAGATTCTATTTTACCATGGAAGAAAACGATTCTCCGGCTTCTAAAGGAGGGAGGGATCACGGTAAAGCAATCAGTTGCCATTTATTTTCCTCTCATCTCGAATTAAGTGGTTTTGTTTAAGGGAGCGTATACATAATGACGTTATGTATACGCCATTAAATTGCCACCGTGGCGTATACTTGGTATCATTACTTATCCTCGAAAAAATTATATTATAATTTGATTTCAAACATCTTATTTTTACATTCAATATTTATTTGAAAATATACAATATCTCTTTTAATAAATAAAAAATATTAAAACATAAAACCTACTACATTTTTTACAACATAATTACAAACTAATGGAGTTTCTGTTTTTTTTGCTTCTTCTTCTTAGGGTGGCCTAGGGAAACTATGTTGAATTTTCACTTTTCACATTATTGCCCTCAAGGGCATCCTTTTCAATGTAGTATGAAGAGCCATCGGGATTTTTACATTTGTATACCAATTTACAGCACTCTGGGTAGGGCTTTTCGGGATTGATGCGTTCGCCACGATTGCAGTTTTGGATCCATAATTTGCCGCAGCTAGAAGAAGGAAAAAAGGAAAATACATTTTTAATTATTATTGGAAAGGGATTTTTTTTATTAATTTTTCAATGCCTACAAATAGGCGTGGATTTTTATACCCTTCACCACACTGTGGTACAGGGTATTATGTCTTTGCGCATATGTTCGTAACAGGCAAAAGGAAACGAGATAGACACATGGTTCCTTTTGAGAATATGCATAGAATCACCTTCTGAGTCGATTTATGCATGCCCGTCAGTACGCCCGTCCGTCTGTCCCTTTGTAGATGTTAAATTGTAAACAAGGTACAGGTCGCATTTATGATCCGATTTAGATGAAATTTGGCACAAGTCACTTATTTGACCCAAGGACGAACCCCGTTGAAATTCAAGAAAATTGCTTCAGATTTAGGTACAGCTCTCATATACATGTTCGTCCGATTTAAGGTAAATGGGGCACCAAAGTCTCTATATCTCTATATATCTTTCGATTTGCACGAAATATGGCATAGCGTACTGAAATAAGTCTAGAATGATGTGTGCCAAGTTTCGAGAAAATCGGTTCAGATTTTGATATAGCTCCCATATATATTTTCGTCCGATTTGAGGTAAATGGGACACCAAAGTCCCTAACTATCTTTCGATATGCACGAAATTTGGCATAGCGCACTAAATTAAGCCTAGAAGGATTTGTGTTAAATTTCGTGAAAATCGGTTCAAATTTAGATATAGCTCCCACATATATTTTCGTTCGATTTAAGGTAAATGGTGCACCAAAGTCCCTGGAAATTTTTCCATTTGCACGAATTTTGGCATAGCATACTGAATTAGGTCTAGAATGATGTGTGCAAAGTTTCGTGAAAATCGGTTCAGATTTCGATAAAGCTCCCATATAGAGTGTCGTCCGATTTTAGGTAATTGGTGCACCAAAGTCCCTAAATATCTTTCGATTTGCACGAAATTTCGCACAGCGTACTAAATTAGGTGTAGAATGATGTGTGTCAAGTTTCCTGAAAATCGGTCCAGATTTAGATATAGCTCCCATATATATATATATATATATATATATATTCATCCGATTTAATGTAAATGGTGCACCAAAGACCGAATATATTCTATGAATTGCACGAAATTTGACATAGCGTACTGAATTGAGTTTAGAATGATGTGTGCTAAGATTCGTGAAAATCGGTTCTGATTTAGATATAGCTCCCATATATAGTTTCGTCCGATTTAAGGTAAATGGTGCACCAAAGGTCCTATATATCTTTCAATTTGCACGAAAATTGGGACAGATGTGCGCTAAGTTTCGTGAAAATCGGATCAGATTTAGATATAGCTCCCATATAGATGTTCGTCCGATTTAAGGTAAATGGTAAACCAAAGTGCCTAAATATCATTCGATTAGCACGAAATTTTGCACAGTGTCTGAATTAAGCCTAGAATAATGTGCGCTAAGTTTCGTGAAAATCGGTTCAGATATAGATATAGCTCGAATATATTTTCGTCCGATTTAAGGTAATTGGTGAATCAAGGGCCCTAAATATCTTCCGATATGCACGAAATTTGGCACAGCGCACTAGATTGAGCCTAGAAAGATATGTGCTAAGTTTCGTCAAAATCGGTTCAGATTTAGATGTACCCCCACACATATTTTCGTCCGATTTTAATCGGTTCAGATTTAGATATAGCTCCCGTATATAGGTTCTTCCGATTCAAGGTAAATGGGGCTCCAAAGCCCCTATATATCTTTCGATTTGCACCAAATTTGGCATAGAGTACTGAATTAGGTCCAGAATGACGTGTTGCAAGTTTCGAGAAAATCGGGTCAGCTTTATATATAGCTCCCATGTATATTTTTGTCCGATCGTAGGTAAATGGTGCACCAAAGTCCCTATATAATGCATCGAAATATATATTTTCTTCATAATTTGACACTTATTTTGAGCTTAACATGCAGTATAACAGTTTTCTGAAACTGTTATACTCGCAAAAAGTGCAAGAAAATTTGTGGGATATTCGATTTTCAACTTAATACTATCAAAATACGAATTTTGGGTGCAGTATAACAGTTTTCTAAAACTGTTATACTCGAGAAATACTCCAAAAATGTCATTATTCTTTCGATTATTTTTGTAAATTGATCAAAATACAACTTTTGGCTGCCGTATAACAGTTTTGTCAAACTGTTATACTCGAAAATTTTCGATTTTTTTTTGCAAATTTTTGACTCATTTCTTCGTCATAAAATTAGCATAACAATAAATTGTAAATAATATTGTGTTTTTGTTGTTTCAAACTGAAAAAAACGCTACACCATATCAGCCAGCATTCTTCGAAATAAGTTCAATTCTTATCAGTAGTCTGCAAAGTGCATTCGAATGTACATGTATTGAAAATAAAAATAATTTCAAAATTATAAAAAGAAACAGGGGATTTTTTAGTCAGCCTCAATTTTTTTTAAATATTTTTTGTTTTAATTTCCTTTTTCCCATTTGACCCCTACAAACTTACCCTTCCACCAGCACCGAACCATCCTCGTTGCATGTCAAACGCTGACATGGCACCGGACCAGGCTGTTGTCCTAATTCCAGTTTATCGCCACGATATGTACAATTGCCATCCTCGCCTGTAAATTCCAATCCGCAAAAAATTCCAGAAACAAGAAAAACAAAACAAACAAATTCGTTAGCATTTTTCCTCTTCTTCTTCTTTTTTTCCAAAATTCTAGAAAATTGTTTTTTGCTGAATTTTCCAAAGCACACACACACACACAAACAAATACCTGGTGGTATCAGCATCTGATAGGCTTCCGTCTCAATGCTGATTAGGGAAAATATAACGGCATATGTGACAAGCAGACACAAATAGCTTGAAATTTGTTTTTCCACAGACATGTTTTTCTTAATTTTCCACCGAAATAGAATGAGACACGCGAAGGAGACACACAAAAGAGGAGGGGTAGGCGAAAAAATATTTTTTTGAATAATTTTTCCTTTAGCGAAATGGGGGAAGACACAGAAAACAAAAGACTTTTCACAGCGAATATTAGAAATGCACTGAAATCAAAAGATTTTAGCGGCAAGATTTTGACCAACGGCGGACCGGCTAGTTGGATGACAGAAAAAGTGGGCAGGGTTGCCGAACCGCAATAAATTACGACATCCATAGATAAATCGTTTTTTATAATTTTTTAACATTTTTTAACTTGTATAACAGTTTCGACAAACTGTTATACTGCACAAACTATGCTGGAAAATGTTAAGTTTTTCAAATATATCATAAATAATGAAAAAATATAAATTTCAGCTGCAGTATAACAGTTTTCGTTAACTGTTATACTAGCCACAATGATTAAAAAATTTAAAATTAGGATTATTTTATGAAGAATTATCAAAAATCAATCATTTTATGACATTTGGTTATAGTATAACAGTTTTCTGCAAACTGTTATACTAGCCAAAACGTTCCGAAAATGTATATTTATGTTTATTCTATGAAGAATTAGCAAAAGTCAAGCATTTTACGGCATTTGGTTGTAGTATAACAGTTATTTGCAAACTGTTATACTCGCCAAAATGTTCCACAAAAGTATATTTATGATTATTTTATGACGAATTAGCACAAATCAAGCATTTTATGTCATTTGGTTGCGGTATAACAGTTATCTGCAAACTGTTATACTAGCCAAAAATGGATTTATGATTATTATGAGAAATGTTCCGAAAATGTATATTTATGATTATTTTATGACGAATTAGCACAAATCAGCCATTTTATGTCATTTGGTTGCGGTATAACAGTTATCTGCAAACTGTTATACTCGCCAAAATCATCCGAAAATGTATATTTCTAATTATTTTATGAAGAATTAGCAAAAATCAAGCATTTTATGGCATTTGATTGTAGTATAACAGTTTTCACTAAGTGTTATACTAGTCAAAATGATTCGAAGATATATATTTATGATTATTTCACGAGAATTTAGCAAAAATCAAGCATTTTATGGAATTTGTGTGCAGTACAACAGTTATCTGCAAACTGTTATACTAGTCAAAATGACCCGAAAATGTATATTTCTGATTATTTTATGAAGAATTACCAAAAATAAAGCATTTTATGGTATTTGGTTGTAGTATAACAGTTTTCTGCAAACTGTTATACTAGCCAAATTGATGCGATAATGTATATTTATGATTATTGTATGAAGAACTAGAAAAACTAACGCATGTTTTGGCATTTGGTAGCAGTATAACAGTTTCCACTAACTGTTATACTAGTAAAAATGTTCCGAAAATGTATATTTATGATTATTTTATGAAGAATTAGCAAAAAATTAAGCACTTTATCACATTCGATTGCAGTATAACAGTTTTCTGCAAACTGTTATATTAGCCAAAATGAGCCGAAAATGTATATTTATGATTATTTTATGAGAATTTAGCAAAAATCAAGCATTTAATGTCATTTGGTTGCAGTATAACAGTTATCTGCAAACTGTTATACTAACCAACAGTGATGGAAATAGTTTGTAAAGTGTTGGTGGACTGTTATATTTGAAAAAGAACGAGGGAGTGGTGTTTTTTATAGTATAACAGTTTCTTTTAAACTGTTATACACAAAAAAATGGCCTGTATAACAGTTGTTATTGTCGATTATATTATAAAAAATGTTAGAAAATTGTTATTCCGAAGAAAATATTACATAACCCATATAACGAAATTAAGATTTTTGTATAACAGTTTGTTGGTTAACTGTTATACTCCAAAATTTGTGCATATTACCTCATAACTACTTGCAAAGTACTAGTATACGTTAAAAAAATGTTTCACAGTAAAAATTTAATCAAATTTTAATATTGTATGGCCTTACATTGCAGTATAACAGTTTTCTCAAAACTGTTATACGTGGAAAAATTTAAGGAAAATTAAAAATTTTATAAAATTGATCACAAATAAAACAAAAACTAACATAACAATGTGAACAAATGCAGTATAACAGTTTACTTGAAACTGTTATACTCCCAAAAGTTGAAGAAAAATTTGAAAATTTTCCAAATTTCTTAAAAATATGACAAATTTTAGGACGTGAAATGTAGATTTAACAGTTTATGGCACTAAATTGCAGTATAACAATTTTCTCAAAACTGTTATACGTGAAAAAATTTAAGAAAAATTTAAAATTTGATAATACTGATCACAAATAAAACAAAAACAAACATAATACCGTGAAAAAGTGCAGTATAACAGTTAACTTCAAACTGTTATACTCCCAAAAAAATAAAGAAAAATGTTTTCCAAATTTCTTCCAAATATGACAAATTATAAGACGTGAAATGTAGATTTATCATTTTATAACACTAAATTGCAATATAACAGTTTTCTTAAAACTGTTATATGCCACAAAAATTAAACAAATTTTTAAATGGTCAATATTTATCACAAATAAAATAAAACATAATATAATAATGTGAAAAAATGCTGTATAACAGTTTACATTAAACTGTTATACTCACACAAATTTATGAAAAAATGAGTACATTTTAAAAAGTACACGGAAATATTACATAATAGAGCTTAAAATTGATGTATAACACTATTCTTCAAACTGTTATACTAACACAAATTGAAGAAAAAATCGTGAATTTAAAAAAAAGAAATACACATAATATTACATAATAAAGTTTGAGAATGATGTATAACAGTTTTCTCCAAATTGTTATATATAGAACAATTTTGTTTTTTTTTTGAATTTTTTATGAACGTAATTAAATACAAAGTATTTTTTATTTACTTTCCCCTTCAATAGCTTTTTAAATTAATTGAAATACAGCAACCCTATTGTTCTCCCCCCTCCCCTCCTCTCTTCAGACGTTAAACACCACACACGCTGAGCATAAATGAGATGAGAACAAAATATCATCATTTGAATGAAAAGAAACACCGACCCAGCGACACACTCACTCAACTCAAGAGGGAGGCCGCAATGAGAGAATTAAATGCATGTCGTGCGAGTTCGTTTGTACGTGAGTGTATGTGTGTCTATGTGTGTGAGTACGTGCTGTTGTTGTTGCCGCTGCTTTCGTTTAACAGGCCTCCCATTGATCTTTTGACCTACAACAAGTGTTGAATACTGATTACCATTCAATTGGTTGTTGTTTTAATTTTTTCTTGTTCTTGTTGTTGTTGTTCTTGCAATTGTTGTTATTATAGGGGGGTCATTTAATGGTTTGTTTACAAACAAAACATTTCTTTTAGTTTATTTTAATTATTTGTCGTTTTTTGAGTGGAGGGTTTTTTATTTTAGTTCTTGGTTTGCTGGTGTTGTTGTTTTTCCCCATTGAAATGAAATTTCTTCGATTTTCTATTTTAAGTTCAATGTTAATTTAATTATAAAAATAAATTTATATATTTGGAATTGATATATTGATGGGGTTTATTTTGAGGGGGTTTTCGAAATTTTTATGTGATCTTTTTGTGAATGGAAAAAAGTGTGGCTGGCTAAAAAATTTTTAAGAAGAAAAAAATAAATAAAAAATAGAAAAAAATACAAATAGAAAAAATTAGAAATTAAGAAAAAATAAAAATTTTAAAGAAAATTATAAATTTTTTAAAAAATGTATATTTTTTTAAATTATAAATTTTTAAAAACTTGGAAATTAAAAAAATAACATAAATTAAAATTAAACAAAATTTAAAAAAAATATATATTTAAAAATAAAAATTACATAAATAAAAATTTAAAAATACTACAATAAAAAATTAAAAAATATAAGCAAAATATTTAAATAAAAAAAATTAAAAATTTAGAAAAAAATTATTTAAAAAAAAACTATTTAAAAAAAAAACGAAAAAAATCCAATTTCGAAAAAAGCTGCCTGCAATCGATTATTTGAATTTTTTTAAGCTCCGGCCATTGACCCCTAGACATTATTGTAAGCACACACAAACTTAATTAACCACTATTCACATTGACCCAATAGCTGTTGTTAATGTTGTAGTTGTTGTTCTTGTATTTTTAATACTACATTACGCGATGATTACCCATAAGCATAGAGAAGCATAAATGACATTGTCACGAACAAACAATTGGTACGCAAACGTACCAATGAAGCGGCAAAGACACATGACTCACCAAGAAAGTGGCAGGGATGGGAAATTGAAAGGCATGGATTTTTTGAAATTTCAGGCTTGGATTTTTATACCCTACACAACAATGTTGTCAGGGTATTATAGCTTTGTGCAGTCCCAAGAATTTGTAACTCCGCGAAATATTGATCCTAGACCCACCTTTAAGTATACCAATCGTCATATCTTGACTAGCTGAGTCGATCTAGACATGTGTGACCGTCCGTCCGTCTGTCCATTACACTTTGTAAACACGATACTGGCCACAGTTATGGACCAATCTTCACAAAATTTTGCATGTAGAATGGGTTCTGGCCAATGAAGACCCCTATTGTTGTTGATAAAGATCGGTTAATATTTAGGGGATGAATTGGACCACAAACTTTATTTTTGCCTGATTTTCTGGTGGCTCCAGAGGCCGCAATTATGGCCCAAACATCGCGAATTTTTACAAGGAGATGGGGATCGGGCCAACGAATAAGCATGCCTGTTTTGATAAAGATTGGTCAACATTTAGCGGGTCAAATGGACCCTGACTTTTGTGTGAAAAATTACAAAATTTGTATTCTAGGGCATATATATTTTCCCCTGAAGAACAAAGCCCCGAGAAGTTGATAGCATATCCAAAAGGAGTGATTGACCTATAATTTGATATCCAATTATATTGTCGTATGTACTCGGATGTGGGAGTTGTACTTAAATATATGCAGGTGCTTACGTATTCAAATATTTTTTAGTAACCCATTACCACACTAGAGGGCGAAAATATA